GATATAGGGTGTTGAAGTTGGAAGTATTGATTGTTGTTTTTCATGATAAGCTTTCATGATGGCAAAATTTAGTTTGATTGGTGACTGGAAAAGTCTCAAAATTTCAGAAAAATACTCATTGAGATTATTGGGTAATTCCAATGGGTGATTTGAGGGCACCTATATTCGAATTTGGAGACAAATACATTTTTCATTATTTCCTCAGAAACTGAGTGATAAGTATACAAAAACATAATAGAGGACAAGAAAGGTGTATCTTTGATTGTTCAATCTGATAAAAATATTAAACTTGGAAAAAACTATGACGTAGGTGCCTTATTTACCATGAATATCGGAAAGGTAACCCACTGCGACGCCACTGGAAATACTGGAATCATTACTTCGAATGTAATTAGACCAAAAGAAGCTTCTTGATACTGTTAACAAAATCATCAAGTTTCATTGATATTGAATAACAGAATTTTGAGTGATTTATAAAAAACGATTTTATATCGAAACTTTGATGCCCTGTATCATGAAAACGAATCATTTCTGGACCTATGTTTACATGAACTTTGCGTCTTAGAATCACCCAAATAATCACCCCTTGAAGTTTGGCTACATACTTGAATAACACCCTATATATTAAAAACTTATCTTTGTAGACATTCCTTGATTCATACTGCTGATGATGGACTAACGATAGTTCGAAACATGTTCAGATACTTCCGATAATAAATTTGTGGGGATGACTTAGTGTCGTGTCTTGTTTCTGAAGTGAGTTTCTCACATGATCAGCAGTCTCGAAACACATATCTATGAGTCCTTGAGAAATGCCAGTCTAAAAACTCTTAGAGCTTATATTATACAGGGTGTCCCTGAAAGGTCTTTACAAAAATCTACCACATATTCCTCAGACCAAAATAATTCGAGAGAAGCAAACTCACCTCAGTACAAAGTTGCTTGGTTTGGACACTAGACGACTCTATAATATGAAAATTGTAACTTTATGGAGTTACAATTTCCAAATTGTTTTTGCTTGATAACTCTGAAACGGCTCATGAGATTCTACTCAAATTTGGTATGTTGACATAGCTTCATGGGGCAATAAAACCTATATTATGATCATGATGAATATCATGTCATAGGCGTAGAACTTCATATTTTCAGTAGATTAACTTACAAAACTTCTACGCCAATGAAAAGAAGTGGGTTTGAATATAAAATGTGTTAACTACCAGAAGAGTTCTTTTGGTAAGATTAGAATTCTCTCATTAATTGTTTTGAATAAAAATTTAATTTTGGAAATACAGAAGCATCAGTCAACACTAAATCGATTGACAGACTGAGCAACTTTTGAGATGAGTTTTGTTTTAATCTCTTGGAGGGCACGAAAAGAAATTTCTATATTATTAGTGTTATCAGAAATACATTTTAGTATTTTTTCGATAATATGACAAAGGACCCCGCACCGTATCAATGGGAAATTGGCTTTCGCTGAATTTACTCCAATTTTTGATATATTGTAGAACTGTTTGTAGAAAACAAATATCATCCCCAATTCGTGATATTATAGCATCTCCTGATCAGACCTTATTTTATAAACATGATGTTTTATTTTTGATAAAGTCACATCCATGTTAGGTATACTTATTATTGGCATCCTTATCATGATTTACAACTTGAACAACCTATTGGGAAACTTGTTCATTCCATGATGAATGTCCACTCTGCAGATACGTGGAATATACGGAGTAGATGAAAAATCGATGGTCTTTGCTAATAACTTCTCAAGAATAGAATAAGTTCTGTACCTTACATAGTGTATTACTTTCGTGTTATGACAAGCAATTATATTTCCTCGATCACTATTTCATAAAACGAATTCGTTGCTTGTAATAAAGTAGTTGAAATTATTCAACTTCTTGAACAGTTCCCAGAATACAACTCATCATACTCAATTCGAGAATACCTCAACCCTGAAACGAAAATAAAAGTAGTGAACTGTTTATTATCAATGATCAATTTCAATAAAATGGATCACATGAATCTGTACATACTATTCTTGAGAAGTTATTAGCAAAGACCATTGATTTTTCATACACTCCGTATATTCCACGTATATTTGCAGAGTGGACATTCATCATGGAATGAACGAGTTTCTCAATATAGGTTGTTCAAGTTGTGAGTCATAATAAGGATGCCAATAATGAGTTCCTAACATGGATGTGACTTTATGAAAAATGAAATATCTTGTATAGAATATGTCTGATTAGAAGATGCTAATATCACGAATTGGAGATGATATTTGTATACTACAGAATTGAAATGAAATTCCACCGCCCACTTTTCCGAAAACCACTGAACTATTCGCTATGTTCCCACCCACTCTGTATATCTGTATATTGTTAGTACGTGCAGAAATTATTATACTTCATATAACAATCAATGCACAGTTGATTTGGTTTTGAAAATATGTAAGGTATCTTCACAATTTCTATCTAAAATTTTGGAAATGCCAACTTTATCATCCTATATAATCTTAACTGTTGAATTTAGAGTGTTGGTGCTATGGAGAGATTTGATCAGCACCACGAGTTCTACAATATATCAAAAATTGGAGTAAATTCACCGAAAGCCAATTTCCCATGCGGTGCGGGGTCCTTTCACAAAAAAAATTTGTTTCGATAGTTGTGCCAACTTCACTGAGACATGGCTCGTATATATTCCTCAAACTGTGGTATTACCCTTGCTGAGAGTTTCGAGGAGTTGATGAAATTGTCCAGATGTCAGATGTAAATTTCTGTAGGGTCGTGTAACCTTCATAATCATCTCATGCCATGTCAGTAACCGGTGAAGTATGGCTGTATAATAAATAACATCCACATGATGGCCAATGTTAACTGTCGACAATTTGTATCAATTTAAAGGTCGTTCACATACGGGGCCGGTGACAATCTTACAAATTCAAACGAGATTCTCGATTTGGGTCAAGATCGCCTCTAATAACTAACTAGACATTTTTCTGTTTCTGTTCCTTCTTCCCCACGTCAATGAATGGGAAAGCTTAGATATAGTTGAGTATTTTTTGACACTAAATAGTGCGAAATGTAGCAACGTAAAAAAATTGTTTCGTTCTGCAAGTATTCTCCTGAGAATATAAATTTCTTCTGAAAAAGAAAAATATATATATATATATTTGAGAATATATACAGGGTCATTCCGTATATTTGAACAGTTTTTACATGGTTCAACATCGAGGATTGAAAAAAAAAACTGTAGGGTTTGTTCTGAGCCTCCAGAAAATTTTATGAGGTGAAACAAATGAATACCTATCGCTGATATAATGAGTGGGTACCAACTATGTTATTTTCAATAGAACACCCTATATATTTTTCGTAGAAGTTGATGATCTTTCTGATTTGATTACAAAAATTCATATAGGTTGTTGATATTCGGTTCAGCGGTTTTCAAAATATTCGAGGTTGAACATTTTTCATTTATACAAACGGCTGAATCGAATATCAACAACTTATACATATATTTTTGAAATTAGGAAAGGAATGACTTGAATTTTTTCGTTAACTATATAGGGTGTTCCATTGAAAATAATGGAGTTGGTACCCATTTCTTATATCAGCGATATTCATTTGTTTCATCCCGTACAATTTGTTGGAGGTTTAGAACAAGCTGTGGAGGGTTAGATGAATTATAAAATAATCTCAACGTTTCGAATCAGATTCTTTTTCGTATCTTGACAAAACCTATATCTCGTTCAAATATCTTTATCCAGAGAACTGTCTTTCTATATGCAGACTCAACATACAGAGACATGTAAAGTCGACTATCGATCATTGCAGTCCTCAACCAGGTTTTCACTCCTCTCAATATATTTACTGAATGACCTCTCAATCGTACATGTTGTGCATGGTCGAGCAAGTGAAATTAAAAGCCTTTTTAGTTGCTGAATAAAAAAAAAGGTGTCTTACCAATTCTGCTATTTCTATCTTTTTCATAGCATATTTCGCATTTTTTTCTGCCTATAAATATTGCCATGATTCGCCTTCAGTAAAAAATTCGTCCATCATATTTTATGATGACCAGACAAAATGTGTGATTTTCTGAGGAAATCTTCTACTGTCATGTCCAACATATTGAAGGGGTACAAAATCAGTAGTGAGAAGGCAGGTATGTATGTTATCATGTGATTATCTTCGGAAAATCGCTGCTTCAATGAACTTATTAATTAACTATTACTGACCTTTTTCCTGAATTCTCAAGGAGTTTGCGCTGGTGGATCTGAACAGTGAACTCTTGTCGTTCTGCGAGCCATGGACCATGGTACTCTGTTTCAAGATTCTCAACGACTTTTTAGCTCATTGGTTTATTTCATTTTGGTTTATTATGTTCACCGTTCCACAGTGATTTTTGACTAGACAAGTATTTTTTTGCTTATCCAGATGAATTGATTGACTTCAATACACAAAAATTGAAGTAGATAAGTATGAACATGAAGCAAGAAAAATGTCGATGGCGAAAACTTTCATTATTAGTAGTTGAAATTACGCCAGTCGGGCAACCAGCCACTCCCGTATGAAAATTCGGGTTTTGGAGTGTTTCTTTCCTCCTTTACTATTCAGATGGCGTTGCTCTCATATTGTCTATGGGGGACGCGTCTGAGAGAATATAATGCCAACTTGATTATTGTTTGGTTAGGCTACGCTCAGTCGGCGGTCTAAAGTCTGCTGGCTGGAGACTGCTCTGCACTGGTGAGAGTCAAAGAGCTCAAAACCGGTCTGTAGGTGTCTAGCGTGGCCACGCTAAATTGAAATCAACAGGCATTCAGGAAAGATTCACTTGTATCAGTATCCGTTTATACGTGTCGATGCATAGATTTCGGAAGGATGTAATTCAATGTTCTACGTGGCATTATTATTTTTTGGATACGCCCATGAATGTGCGAATTTGTACCTCATCTTTATTGAAAATATCAAATGACGATATCTATATTTGGTTCGTACCTATCCATGATCCGATCTCATCGTCGATTTGCATGGAGTCGTTGAGAAGTTTCAGCTGTGGTAGGAGTACAGCGGAATATCCAACAGGCATTCCACAACTCGCGGAGCTGAACATCACCGCGCTCGTCACGAAACTCTGAAAAGGATGGAAAGGTCAGAATTCAGCGGAGTTCAGGAGTCTACAACGGAAGTTATCCAGACTTCTGTTTAAAATTGCTGAGATTTATGTGGTGCAGTGTTAGAGATAATCAGTTCCATAGGATAATCCCGATTATTTGATCCCATGTATTTCTCCCCAGATAGCACAAATTCTTTTGGAAAGCATATCAAAGCAAGAGAATATTTTATTCTGATAGTATATTATACCACGAGTCAATGACAAGAGCTATTATTGTCGAGGGATATTTACGATCTGAGCCATTATTGCGAGTAGTACACTGTATTTTATTTACGGGTCAATAATTTATTCCAAATTTTCAATGCAAAGATTTTTTGGAATGAAGTTATGAATCCATTCCATAAATACCATTCGATATGTAATATTTCTAGAATTTCTTATGATTATTTATGAAAAATTCTGAGAAGTAGCAACATTGTCAACATAAATATTGAGAATAATTTTGGTTTTGTTGGAAGGTTTTTATATGATTCTTGAAAGAATCTGTGCTACCTGTAAAGATATACATGGGATTAAATAATCAGGACTATCCCATAAAACTCATATCATAAAAAATTATATGCTACAAAAATTGATGTTGTTATAACTTTGTTGACATTCAACATTATTGAATGAATTTTTGCGATCAATTAACGATTATTTGAATGATGCTGAATCCAGAAGTATTGATATTTCGCAATTTTCAACATGATAACGCCCTGAAGATTGGAATTATATTGCACAAAACTAAGTAGATAGTTATGTATGATACAAGGAAAAAACATTGTTTGTGTTGTCTCCCGACGCGTAGCGCAGGGAGACAAAAAACCGTGAGCTAAAATCTTTTCCCCGTGTATAATACACTATTTTCTTCTGTGACAGAAAAGAGAACAAATCTTGAAGTAATCAATTATTTGTCAGTTTAATTCTGTTATTTGATATTGACAAATTGCGAACCATGTGGTTGTTTAGTAATTTACGTAACCGCGAAGTGAAATAGGAGATAAAAAGGACTTGCAGTTCTTTCTCGGAGACTTATTTTTCAGAATTGGCACAACAAAAGCCATCTACAGTGCACCTATATATACGGGAAAAAAGTCATTACTTTTTTTCCATGAGAAAAAATGAATTTACGGAAAGTTGAATTCTATAACCTGTCAACAGAGATGATTTGATGATGAATTGTCAGAACTTTTTTGCCGGCACAAAAAATTTGCATATTACACACCGAGATCTCGAGACAGGAATGAAACTTCCTACCGAGGTTTTTATACTATTTTATTTACAACCATCATATTTCGATCAAAATTAATAGATCTCTGTTTCGTTCTGAACATACCTAAAATATTACATAAGTGTGGGCGGGAAATAGAGGTCTGTGATGTGACACTTCCTAACCTTCAATGACGTAATGACAAAATTACATATAAGATTGTAAATAATAGTATATTTTTCTACGGATATAACACAAAATTGCTCTTGTTTCACTGTGTTCGATACATCGATGAGGTACTTTGTATGCCACCAATTTAATTTCCTTATCTCATATCACAATGACTCCATTGTGTTATTATTTTCAAAAAAAAACTTATCGTCTAATAGATGAGCATTACTTGACAGGAAATCAGGTGGCTACAATACGAAGAAATTGAAAGAGCCGCTGTTATCTATTATACAGCCGTAGAAAAATTATAGTGTATAACTTGCACGAAATGCTTATTTCCTACTCGAATAAAACTTCATTCTCGTAGGAAATCACTATCATTCCGTGCTCGTTGAACAATATACTATTTCTGATGATGTTTCTGCTGAAAGAACTAAGAATGATTCGTTTGAAAACTGCAGATTTTATAAGGGTGCTTCAGTCTTCAGTGGGTGTAACACATGGTGTAACAGTATGAGACGCCGTTTGGGTCAAAAGTGTGTATCCAAATATATACTAATCCGTGCCGAAATATTTATTAGTTGCAGCAATATATATTATTTTCAACCGAAATATTTATTAGTTGCACCAATATATAATAATTTGCTGCCCCATATATTTATTTTCCACAAAACCCAATATATTTATGTTTCAAGCGTTACCAATATATATAAACGTGTATATGCAGATGCTTATATAAATGTGAGCTTTTCATCTTTTAAAGAGATGGCGCAACGAACGCACGCGTATTGATTTTATTCGAGATTGAGCACTTGGCATCAGCGCAATTCGAAGTCATTATTACAGGAAGTGAATAATAGATGGCGGTAGCATGCAATGTCAACTACAGAGACTGCATGTCAACTACATGTCATCTATCAATAGTATGAGATATGATGTCATATTTTGAGTAATTTGAGTAGAGTTTGATTTGTATATTTTTTGGGCAAGGTGATCGACCGTTGGGGGCGCTGTATCAAAAACAAGAAGGCGGCGTTATCAGGGCACTTTGTTTACATATTTTGTGTGTTTTGAATACATTTTATTCCTGCTATTTATTAATCGTGTTAATTGTGTTGATTCTCGAAGTTATCACAGAAAATATCAAATATCATTGTTGAATCATCATTTCATCCTGTATATGATTGAAATAATGAGGATAGTAGGTATTACAACTACAAAGAAGCCTTTCATCAGACCTGTGGCATTCTGTAGGATATCAAAATCACCCAACCATTTCAACTATCGGTGAATTAGAAGGAAGCTGATATATTTGCAATGGCTATGGACAATCTCAGCACAAAAACTGACCAAAACAATGTGCTGATCTGTCTACTGGCACATGTTCACACTTCACTCAGCTCTATGGACTCAGCTTGTAGTGCCTCAGATCCATCATACATTGATCCATACCAAAACCAGGAGATATTTCATATGACCACAACATGCTTATAGCTGCAGCCCCAAGGAAGCCCTTTTTTAAGCCAATATAAAGAAACATTTCAACTCACAAAAATTCCAATATTGTCATGTGTAGAATAATGGCACAACCTCAGCAAGATGACTCCTAGCATCTTGAAGGATTTTTTATAGCACCACAGATATATTGAAAACCTGCAAAACTCTCACTAGGTACCATCTTCATGAATGTTGCTCCACTGCAACAATAATATCAAATTGTCATGATCCTGTATGTGTGTGATTTGTATCCATATTGAGTGTACTCATTTTCATAAGGACAATATACAGTATACTTACCTACATATCAAGTTAAGGTAGGTAGGTAGGTGGTATCCTAGATTTGGTGTTCATATATATATCTTGTGAAATTAGTTTTTATCATTTTGTTATACTGACTTCATCTGAATAAAAATATTTATCTATGTATTATGTATTTTATATTCTGGAACTGAATTAATCGATTAGTTTAATAATTTTTGAGAATGAATTTAGACATTGACAAAACATGTTTTTCACTGTACAATGTATTATAATGAATTACTATTTTGTTCAAAGACCTCATTTGAAAACACACACCTAGCTTCTTGTGTCTCTCCAAAGAAGTACTAAGAGAAGGATCTACCAGTTTACTCCTCCCCTCAGTGCTCATGTATAGTGTTTTCTCTCCTCCCCTTACATTAAAAGTGAAGATACCTTCATGAACATGTAAGATCATCAATGAAGTTGGAATCCAGGACTTTTATTTATGTAGGAATAAATTAACAATGAGCTAAAGTGGTTATTTACATGGTAGTTAATAGGTAGATATACCTCTTGTTTTGATTGAGGTAGGTGTGGAATGAACATATAATTTTAAAAACCTACAGGAAAATCATTACAAAAATACAAAAAATTAGAACTATATTAGGTACTTACCAATAAAATACAGTTTGATGAAAACATAGAAGCAACAAAATTATGAATCTATATTTCCAAGATACAATTTGAAATACAAAGGATAGATAATAATGTTCAACTACCTAAATAATCATTGATATCTCCTTGAACTTGAATTCAACTTCAAGGAATGAACAGAAACAAGAAAAAACTGATTATATATTCTGGGTTTTGGTTAAACATTTTGCAAGATACCCTGGAATCTGAATGACAACTCCTCTTCCTTGCTGAAAATTCAAAAAGATGTTAGTATGGACCTAAATAAACATTTATAAATACCTAGATATTCGATCTGTTGGTTGTACAGAATTGTTTGAATCAAGGTAAAATATATTCTGCTCATGTTTAGCTGTATTTTAACTTGATAGTTTTAGTTTAATTATGCAATCTGAATTGGCTATCATTACTATAGAAATAATACAATAGAAATCTATGAAATCCTATTTAGGATATCATGAACATTATCTTAATATGATTCAGAGAAGGCAAGCATTTCATATAGAACCATAAAATACTGACTTGCACATTTTTCCACCCTTGTGTATTGCAATTCAAAATTCCATGGCACTGAATTTGCTTCTTCATTCTCATTATCACAATAGGTATTTGAAAGAGAAAGGCACATACTTATTTTTCCTAATCCTAGTTTCTGGAGACTTCACCAGAAACTTACCATGCAAAATATGAACTGTTGATCATTTTAATCATGTTCTTTCAGATGGGCACTACGAATAGTTAATATTCAGTAATAATATATATCTATGAATCACAACTTTACCTTGTTTTCATTAATTGGAGCAATGAAAGTGGAAAAAGGACGTTTTTAAACTTTTTGTAGTAGGTACATATTTATACATCCAGTTTTCAAATTCATATTCGATGCTCCACGATTATCCATTTTTCCATCCAACTGAACTGATTTTTCATCAATGATGAATCATCATCAGAAAACACTTCTTGAGTTTACTATGTTTACACAGTTGATTTCTGGGTTCTTGAGTGATATGTTTATTCATCGGTAATTGATATAAGGTTCTTGTCCTGTACTACTAAAATCATGAACAGAAAATTAAAGTAACTTGTTGAATGATGAATTACATGAAATATCAATTTAAATGAACAGAAACAGAATAACATACAATAACAAAAATGACCTTGA